TCTCCCCAAATGGCTAACAGATTGTTCCTGCAGGCTTTCTCAGACGACACAGATTTTCTCCGTTCCTTTGAAATGCCACCTTTAATATACTGAATTTTCATATGCACTGGAATTAATTGTGATTTCTTTCATTCTATTTATCTGTCTGCCGAGGCCATGTTGTCTTCTTTTAAACAGTCACTGTAGCTTTACCATTTCCTTTAATATCTGCTATGCCTACATCAGCTGTCCTAGTTTTCTTCTTCCTCCTAGAATTTTCTTGGCTCTTGTCTTACCCTTCTAGAATATAAGAGAGCTAATATTCATAGACTAGGATTACTAAAATCCTTTTGTTGCTTTGTTTTTTTCTGAGGCTGATCTAGTTCACTATATGGCTTAGGCTGGCCCTGAGATCGCTATGTAGTCCAGGCTGGCTTTGAACTTGTGGTGATCCTCCTGCCTCAGCCTTCAGAGTGCTGGGATGACAGGTGTGTGCCCACATGCCTGGCTGTTGCTTCGACTTTTCATACTAACTTTTGTATGGATCATGTTCATTTCTTATCAAGAATACTTATAAATTTTTATCTTATTTATTGCTATTTGTGAGTATAACACTTTCATTATATTTTAACTAGTTTCTCTTTGATTATAGAAGAGCCTTATTTTGTATTAATTGCTCTTACTTGTTTTTATGTTAATTTCATAAATGCTACCTTATTTTTTTAAGTTCTTGTTAATATGGTACACATACTCTCCACATTCATTGTGGAGAGCTGGTATGTGTACAAATTGCATCTGAATCTTTTTTTTTTTTAACTTCTCTTTTCTTCTCCCTCCATTCCTAGATCCCTTTCCTGTCTCTTACTTCTTTTCAAGAAATGTTTCTAGTTGATTCTTTCACATCAGGGTACAATCATAGCCTTCACAAATGATGATAATGAGGTTTCTTTTTATTTGTGTATTGTTTTTGTTGTTTTGTGCTCCCTCTAATCGGATTGAGTAGGGCATTCACAGCCAGATGAAACAGTGCTAATGGACCCCCTTGCTCATTCCTACATCTAATGGGGCTACTTCTAAGGCAGCCCCATTAACCCCATTAACCAAGGTCTGTTTAGCTTTACCATTTTACCAAAGATTAAATACACCTAAGAACAGATATTGGATTTTATCAAATCATATTTTCTTATCTATCTTTTTATTTATTAGCATATGAATGATCATAAATTTCTAAATATTGATCCAGTTAGCCAATAGTGTGTTATCATTTTAATGGCTGCTGGATCGTATTTGCTGATATTTAAGTTGAAATCATGTTTTGGGCTTCCTAAGTGTGCCTGAGTGCCTATGCTGTCATTAGCAGTTTCAGAATAGAGATTTTTGTAGCGGGAGTCTGACTACTGTGAGAAAAGAAAGAATTCACTCTTGGAGCTGACAGAACTGGCGTTTCTTGGTTGCTATGTCTTTGACAGTTTTCAGGATTACATCCAACTAAGCAGCTTCTGCACAGCCAAGGAAGCAATCAACAGAGCGAAGAGACTTTCTACAGAATGGGAGAAAATATTAGCAAACTATACATCTGACAAGGGCCAATATCCAGGACAGATAAGGAACTCAATTCAACAACTGAATTAAAAAAAAAGAGACCCAAATAGACATTTCTTAAGAGAAGACACTCAGTAGCCAACAGGAATGTGGAGAAAGAAAAAAAAAAAAAAAAAAAGAAAAAAAAAGCTCAGTGTCACTAACAGGGAAATGCCAATCAAAACCACGAGAAGATAACACCTTACCCTGCTTAGAATAATTATTACCAATAAATAAAGGAAAATATGTTGAGGATGTGGAGAAAAGGTAACTCACAGTTTATGATTGGGAATGAAATAGGTTAAACCATTATAGAAAATGGCATGGACCATCCTAAGCAAATTTTTAAAATGGAGCTACCACGCAATCCAGTAAATCCACTGCTGGTATATATTCAGAACAAAACGCAGATGTTGAAGAGACATGGGCTCACCCATGTCTATTGCAGCGTTCTCTGCAGTAGCCGAGATACACAATCAGTCCCAGTGTTTGTCAGTGGCTCCATGCATAAAGAACAGGTGGCACGTGTCCACAATGGAATGTCACCTAGGGATGAAAAGAGTGAAGCTTCCTCTCTGTGACAGCACAGTCAGACACATATGACACTACTCAAAGTGAAGTAAGTCAGGCAGCAGAAGATAAACACCACGTGACCTCACTCACTCGTGGACTCTCGAAACGTCGAATCAAAACCGGGAGCAGAATGGTGGCTAGCAGAAGGTGGAGTGTTTGGGGGGAGGTAGATGCTGGTGAAAGGTACATTGCAGTTAGATTGGGGGAGTCAACCTCAAGAGATGGATTGTATGGAAAGATGACTATAAGATGAAATATAGTTAATGATACTATATTATATGCTTGAAAAATATAAAGAATCATTTAAAAGTCCCTGCAAAAATGCTATGTGAGGTAATACATTTGTTAACTAGTTAAACTTAACTGCAATGTATGTGCACTTCAAAACATGTTGTATATGATAAATTCACACAATATCTCTGAATTTAAAAAAGTTAAATATTTTAAAAATGAGTCAGTCTGCAAATTTTGATATGCAATATTTCAGTTTTTACTATTTTCAAGGTGGTCTGAGAATGTTTTCTCTCTTTTTTATTGATATTGCTTATATCCCTTAGAACTCACCAGTTTTAATTGTGTAGATTTGAAGAACTCAGTAATTGTAAGTGATTGTGGACACCCCACCACAGTCAAGATATGGTCACCCTAAATTTCCTAGTACCCTTGACCCTCTCCCAGCCCCAGATAGTTACTGATTGGCTGTCATTGCTGTTTTTGCCCTTTCTAACTTCTTTTAAAGTTGAAATCATCCAGTCCATTCCTTTTTATTTTTGTCCCTTCTCACCGTCACATCTCTGAAGTTTATTCATGTTGAAGTTTATCCGTGTTAAGATTTCATTGCTTTTGCTAGGTTGTTTTGAGAAGTGTAAAACCTGGCAGTAGGGAGCCAGAGAGGGATCAGACTGTGAGAAGCGATGTGGATGTGTAACAGAAATAGCATTTGTTTATTTGCTTTGCGGAGTGCAGGGAAAATCCTGACCCATCTCCCTACAGATCTCAGTTCTGTTCTTGAGGGAGCATTGGCTGTTCTGTGAGCCAGCGCCATAGACAGCCTGGCTTGGAGGTGGGTATGGGCGGGGCTCCAAGGCAGTTGTGGGGTGCAGCCCTGGCTCCTCTCACTGTTTCCCACATTTTCAGCCACAGTCCCTACTTCCTATGTTTTATTCTTTGTCCTCATTCTCCTTACTATACAATTAGCTTCTGTCTTCACCTTCTTCAGCAGAAGTCTGGTTTGAGCTCTGCCAGTAATGGCTTACATATTTAAAAATACTGTTTGAAGTTTCTTGTTCAGCAAGCTTAGAAATAAAAGCATGCATGTTGATGTCCTCTGTCATAAATGATAATGGCATGAATCAGGGTCCATCTGTAAATTTCCTTCTTCCCCTTCTCCTTTTATCTTACCGTTGTGCTGTCTCATCGTTGGATTTGTAATCAACTATCATTGATTATTTATTATTTTGATATTTTGTGGAGATATAATGATTATCATTTCCAGAGAGAAATGGAAGAGATTTTAATCCACTTCCTGTTTAACCGTCAGACTTCTCTCCCTGTGTGAGCTGTCTGATTCACCACTGTTACACCTTTAAGGAGCATTTGCCAGGAAGTTTACAGGAGGCTAATGTTGGTATCTGAAGGTGCTGTGCTGCTGCTTTCCTCACAAACAGAATCTCAGAAGGGCATGGAGTTAGCGGGTGTGGTGGTGCGTGCCTGTCGTCCCAGCACTTTGGGAAGCTGAGGCAGAGAAGCACAAGTCTGAGTTTAGCCTGAGCAACTTAGGGAGACCCCCATGAAGCAGGCTGCTCATGGCAGTGGGTGCCTGCTGGAAAGCAGCAAGAACAGGTGACTGTCAGTGTTCAGAAGGACTCGCCCCCCTTCCTGCCTGGCACACTGATGGGCACCTGCGGGGAGAGGACTTTCATTTTATTGCCTGCCCTGGACCTGACAGTCCGCCTCACTCTGTGCGGCCCACATTCTGTGTGACCGCAGGGGCGGGGCTCTCTCGGGTGGATCTGTCTTCCTCTACACATTTTCTCCCCATTTCACGTAAAGTTTTTCCGCTGTTTCCGAGGGAATTAATTCCAGGAGGCCGTTGGATACCAAAGCACCCCAGTTCTCAGACCCGTTGGATGAAATGGCACGTTACCCAGGCCCATCCTCCCCACGTGAACCCATCTCCAGGTTACTCACAGCACCCGACACAGCAGAAAGGCTGAGTACATCGCTGTTAAGGGGATAATGGCAAGAAAATGAACATGTGCTGTCTCCCCAAATATTTTCACTAGGTAGTGTTGAATACATGATTGTGGATGACTGCATTTGTCTTTTAAAATTATTTTTCTTGACGAGGACAGCCTAGCATGTGCCTTACATTGCCCATCTGCAAGCACAGGAAGTAACCAATTTACTGGAAGCCACTTAACTCAAGGAAGGGACTAATTCATCAAATGGTAAACTGGCTTTTTATTTTTTCTAAAGGAAAAAATGGTTTGTTTAGCTCACAGTTTGCAGAGGTTTAAATTCATAATCGGGTTGCTCCAAGGCAGAGAAGCAATGGCAGAGAGGCAACAGTTCATGGCAGCCCAAGACAGCAAAAGCAGCAAGAGCCAAAGGACGAGACAAGCCTCTGTCTGTCCCTTACATTGCATGCAGTCTCCCGGCGATCAGGGCAGTGCCAGTCCAATCAGTGCACTGACTCAGCGGTCACCTACACTTAATTCCAGCACACTTAATCCCAGCATTGATTGTGCACAGTCTCAATCCCGGGACTGAGACTCTGTGTGTGTGTGTGTGTGTGTGTGTGTGTGTGTGTGTGTGTTTTTGTGTGTCTATGTGTGTGGTCTTCTCAGTAGAGCGTGCAGCTCCCCCAACATAGTCTTTTAAAACAGATCCGTTGCACAGTGAATGCTTGTGGCTCCCCGCATCCCTGCTGCCATCCTTCAGATGTTGAAGTCCTAACCAGCTTTTTAATGGCTATTTGGAACAGGGATGGAGAAGTAATAGGCTTAGATGAGGTCAGGAGATGTGCCCTCTCAATGGGGTCAGTGCCCTTTTAAGAATGAAAGGGCAGAGTGTCTTTCCAGCACAACGCTGATGAACAGCCATATGGGGGCACAGTGTGGAGGGAGATGCCGTCTGCAAGGAGGAGACTCCTCTCCAGGACCTGACTGTGTTGGCACCTAGCCTGGGACTTCCAGCCTCCAGAAGAAGAGAACGTAAGTGTTGTTGGAGCCACTCAGTCTATGGTATTTTGCTATAGCAACCTGAGCTAAGATACTATCTATTGCCTAAATCTTTGTTTTAAGAAACGTGGTCCTATGCTTGCTCTGCGAGCACAGATACTGAAACTAGAACGACATACAGAAGGTCAGCAGAGCCCCTGTGGAGGACGACATGAAATGCACAAAGTGTTCCATATTTTTGAGTCAGGAGCACTTTGAAGAAGCTTTTCTTTCAACTTTGCAAAAATTGGCCAACGCTCTTGCAGTCTCCTTTAGCTGCAGTAGATATCATGAATATTACTGAGCTGCTTGCAAATCTAACAAGACCCAATGGATTATGTCCTCAGGCCAAGAATTCCAAATACAATCAGCCTTTAACAGCACACAGCTTTGCTACAAATTTTCCCATGTGATCTTAACAAGTCCATGCTCATAAGAAATTTGGGGCTATACAAAATCTTTGAATTCTTTAGAACTTAGCAGCAATCTTGCAAGAGACTGGTGCTGCTGAATGGGATTCTGGAGAAAGTAAAAGACTGGACATTTTGAGAGCGTGAGAGAAAGTCAAGATCGAGTTAGAAAGAGAGAATAAAGAATTTGGTGGGCTGCCTATAGCAGCAGCACAGGATGCCAGCACAACTCCCAATACCTTTCAGGATGAAGATGCAAAGAATAAAGAAGAATATGTGACTCTTCTGCAGGATGTAAAAGCAACTCAAGGATCACACTCTGGTCAGCAAAAGACTTCAATGGATGGAGGAAGTGACAGCATTGGTGAGGATAAGTAGGAGGCCATGGGCTGACTCCGGAAGCAATCATGAGATTCCAGAGCCAGGATCAGAAAAGAAGCTGAGATTACCAAGAAGAACCGAATCAGCAGCCCTGGGAAAAAGTGAACCTAACCTGGCACAGCCTCTCAATGAATGTATTAGTTACAAGAGATGGTGTAAGTGGAATTATGTTCACTTTTCTGCTTTATTAAAGTTATTCTTGTGCCAAAATCAGCAAAGAGGAAAAATAGTCCTTCAAGATATACTCACTGGGTAGGCATATGTTCTGTTTCTTTTTTTGTTGTTTTTTGTCTTTTTCATTGGTACCCGGGATTGAACTAACGGCTGCCTGCTTTCAAGGCAGGCGCTTATGCTGCTGAGCTAAACCCCCAGCCTCCATATGTTCTATTTCTTTTTGTATTCTTTGATCATACTAATTCAACAAACTAGTTATTGATCATTGTTCTTGGTCCTAAGAATAAGAGCGAAGAACAAAACAGATAAAGGTTTGATCCTCATGGAGATTTTGTTCCGGGATTGAGATTCTGTGTGTATATGTGTGTGTGTGTGTGTGTGTGTGTGTGTGTGTGTCTATGTGTGTGGTCTTCTCAGTAGAGCTGGTGCAGCTCCCCCCACCCTGCCATGGCAGGCTTCTGGGCAGACTGGACCTGGGAAGGATGTGGAGGATAGGGCTGGGGGAAGACGTGGTCTAGGGGTTTCTTTCAGCAATAGATGCGTGCATAGATGGTGGAAAGGGAGGGATGCCCTGAGTAGCTGAGAGGGCTGGGGCAGAGAGTGCAGCAAGGGCCAGCCCTGCTGGGATTGTGGAGCTGGAGCACCAGGCCAGGAAAGAGCAGGTGGATGACTTCCCTTGGCTTCCGTTTTCTCCCTGAAGTGGAGATAAGGCACGAAGCTGCGTGGCCAGAGAGGGACTAAAGGGACCCATAGCCCAGAAATCAGCTCTTTGGTGGACTTATCATTTCATGGATTTTTCATTTGTCTCATTATTTTCTACTTTACGCTAGATTCTCCCCTCCATCTTCCTCAGGATGTTGGTTGGTGCGTGGCTAACCTTTCCACTCCTCCTCATTTAACAATGAGAGTGTTTAAGGTCACGCATCTCCTGTGGAGACAGCTCCTGCTCTGTCTCCTCCTCCACAAAGATGTCACAGCACGAAAGGATGCATTCAGCCTGGACCCCTAAGTCCAAATTCTACTCAGATATCGGGTCTGTCGTAGGAATGAGGTCTGGTCTTCTGGCTTCCTCCTCTTCGACGTCTGTGGCTTTGGCAGAACCAGAAAGCATGCTTGTCACGAAAGCTGCCTCGCTCCACAGAATCTAAGACAAAGTGTGTGCTGTGACTCCCCTTGCTGCTGAGAGGCTCCACAGAGATGCTACATTTTTCTCAGGAACTTTTGCATCTTTGAAACTAATACCGAGTGATGGGATAATTGGAGTTTAACTGATTGTAAAGACTATTAAATCGTCTTGTACGAAATTGTCTTGTCCTATTCACATGAAGCTATCTCATCTGCTCTGTGGCTCCTCTGTGTTAGCTGTGCGCAAGAATCAGATCAGAGTTCCTACTTACAGCTATGTAAAATGCACAAATAACAAGGCTGTGAGGAAGTGCTCCCTGATATTAACTGTGGTTAACTCTGGGTAAGTGGGTTCTGCGTAACTTTTTTAGTTATAGTTTTTCTCCAGTCTAAACTTCATTCATTTATTTACTTTCTAAACTTTATGTATGTAATGATTTAAAAAGTGTTTCAGAAGACAGAACATTTAAATATATGTATATTCTATGAGTTATGATCACATCAAAAGTAGCATGTACATTAATAGGACTGAAAGAAACGTATGAAAATGTTGGCCAAGTTTCTTTGAGCAGTGGTACAGTGGAAGATTTTTTATTCTCTTCCTTTTGCTAGTCTGTATTTTTCAAGATAACATTTGTGTAATGTTCCTTTTTCTAGTAATAGGAAAGTGAATTTTTTTTTCAACAAAGCAAATAATACTGTCAAGATACCCTACGAAACTTTATTCACTTGTGTTTCCTACAATGTACAGTCTTCCTTAACCTAGATTTTCAGACTTTTTTCCCATCTTGGAACAGTTTCCCTCATGATGACTTTGATCCTGGGTTCCAGCCTAATTGTTTTTGCTTCTGCCTTGGAAACACACTCTGCCGTTGGGATTTGAAATCTGATCTTTATATTTGTGAATCACTCATCTCCTCTCTCATCTTTTTTGTCTCTTTGTTGTTTTGCTCTTTATTCTGAGAGGGCTTTGCCTCTCATATTGGTGTCCAATATGAGCTGTTCTCTTCCTGGAAATGGGATCGTGGGAAACACCCATTTAGAGGAGAGTTTGAGAAGCAGAATGCTGTCTAGTGGCAGGATGGGAAGTGGGGGTGGGATTTCATGACATTTAAGATTCTGGCAGTGTTCCACCTGCAGATTTCTGGGACCACTGCTTGAGCTTGAACCATGAGTCTGACCCAACAGGGTGACAGGCAGGACAGGTGGACAACAGAGTCCTCAGGGGGGAGATCACAGAGGGCAAAGGGAGTCCCAGGACAAGTATGGCAGACACACAGAGCTGATGAAGAGGGAGGGAGAGTTGCTCCCCAGATCTGTGGCCCCTCCTCTTCTCCCTCCACCGAGCTTTTGTTTCTCTATGTTCACCAGTCACCTTCCTTGAAGTTTCTAGGGAGCGCTCCCTTCTCTGGCTGTTCGAAGATCATTCTCTATTTGTCACTAGATCTTGCATAGTGGGATCTCATCACAGCCATGGTTTTGCTCTCTGGAGCTTCCCTGACAGATTTCCTAGAGCCTCTGGAGAGGCTCCCCTTAGAGAGGAACCCCTTTTACTGTACCACATGACTGGTTCCTGAGCGCGATGGTTCCCCAGGGGGAGGCCTCTTTCAAGGACAGCTCACACTGACAAGCACCACAGATGTTCAGACCCTTCTGCAGGGTCTATTCCTGTCCTGCCTGTCTCCCTGGTGAGCCACCTCCAGGGCCCTGGGGTTCCTCCCTGTGTCCCAATTTTCTGTCCTTGCAACACTGGTTGAACTCCAAGTTCAGGTTGTTACCACAGACTCCTGAACTCCACACAAGTCAAGGTGGGGGGTCCCAGGCTTACCACAGTTGTTTTCTACAGACTGGGTTGTGCGAACAGAACTGTTTTGCCCACTGCAGGTATTTCTTTTGGAATATCTTTTTCAGAATGAGGTTGTTTGATTAAAGCATACTATACACTCTAAAATTTGATAAATATTGCCTTCTTGTCCCCACCAAACAGCCCTATCAATCTGTATTCCCAACAAGGGTTGACGGGCTGTACTTTGGTGTTAGAGCCAGAGACTGCTCAGCAAAATTATACTGATTTTCTCCTGTTCTCTTCCTGAAGGTTAATGTTTTTATTTTACATTTAGGTCTGTGATCCACTTTGAGCTAATTTTTATGTACAGTGTGATAGCTGTGCCTAGGTTCTTTTGTTTGTTTTTCGTGAGAAAAGGTTACCCTTTCTCCTTGAATCACCTTTCCCTCTTATCAGAAACCAGTTCTCTGGACTTGAGAGGGCCTACATTTTCTCTTCTGTTCTTTTGTTGACTGTATCTATTCTTTCTCCAAAACCACACTATTCTGACTACAATAGCAATAAGATAAGTCTGAAATCGGTACTGTGAGTTCTCTAAATCTGTCCTTTTTCAGTATTCTATTGTAAGTCCCTTGTTTTACTTATAAATTTTAGAACCTACTCACAAAAAGGACATGGGAATTTAAAATGAGATTTTGTTGGCCCTAGAGGTCACACTGAGAGGAACTGATTTTGTGACAATACTATTTCAGTTTATGAAAATGGAATATGGAATATCTCTCCCTTTATTTAGGTCTTCTTTGTTTTCTTTCATTAGTGTTTTGTAATTTTCCAAATACCAAGTTTGTACATATTTTGTTAGATTTATACTTGGGTCTTTCCATTTTTTTTTTAGTGCTCTTGTTAAGTGCTATTTTTAAAATTTCACATTTCAGTTTTTCACTGCTGGCATACAAGAAAACAAGTGATTATTGTACTTAGCACCACAACCATGCTATATTGACTGGTTCTAGGAGATTTTGGTGGATTCTTTGGGGTCAAGTGGTCTTCCTGACGCAGCCTCCTAAGCACTGAGCACTGAGACCACAGGCAGGCAGCACTGTGCCCAGCCTTTTGCTCAGTTTTGAGTTGGGTTATTCATGTTTCTATTGTGTTGTAAGTTTCCTTATATATTCTAGATCAGTGATAGTTTTTAGAGCTTTCCATGATACAGACACCCATTGGAGTCATGGGTGCCAAGGTTCTCCACCTCTGTTCTGGATACTGGACCCTTAACAGGTACCACGATTCTGAAATATTTTCTAAATTATCTTTTCAACTTTTGATAATATCTTTGAAAGCCAAATATTTTTAATTTTTTAAAAAAGGAATAAAACAACAAAAACAAGACAGAAGGAAATTCCCCATAGTTGCTATATTGCATATTGTCATCCTCTAAATAGAAGCTAAGACTTTTGGTTTTAGGCCAGCAAAGTTAATCGAACAATACAAGCATTAATTTTTTTTTTTTAGCTTTAGTTGTGAGTAACACTTCTGTGTTACTCTGAATCATTGGTTGCTTACTGTACCCTGCCTGTCTCCCAGCCCACGAGCTGGCTGGCTCATGGGAGGACACGGGTTGTCTTCTTGGTTCTCCTCCTGGTCCGCAACTGCTGCTGGCTCACAGGAGGATGCAGATGGGCTTCTTGGTTGTCCTCCCGGCCCACATGGCTGTCGAAGGGTGAGCAGACTTCTTGTTCTCCTCCTGGCCCACAACTGCCTCTGGCTCATGGGAGTAAAAAATTTTTAATTTTGATGAAGTCTAACATTTATTTTTCCTCATTTTTGTGCATTGTCCCCATAACCTGAATATTTCTCTTTTAAAATTTTTATTTTAGGAATTTTACATATTTAACTCTTGAATTTAGTTCTATGATCCAGTTTTCAATGAGTTTTTGTGTAGGATGTGAGGTAGGGGTCTAGTAATTGTCTTTAGGGTTTATAATATCCATTTAAAAAGCATCTGTCTGCACCTTTAAAGATTATATCCCTTCATGTGTAGTAGGATTTATCCATCCAAGTAATTTTAAGAAAACACTGAACACCAGGCTTCAACACATAAAGAGCTTAGAAATCATCCTATCCATAGATGGGGGGGGAGCCGGATGACTTGGATATAATGACTAGATAATTGAAGATAATTACTGTACTGGTGCCACAGAAGGTGCCAGTTCCTCTCTCCTTACCCTTGTGACACTGCCTCCGTTCATTCCAATTATTCCACCATCGGCCACAGGCACAGAATACCTTGTTACTCTTCCTATTTTAAACAGCTTTGGAGCAGTTAAGAATAAAAAGACCCCACTTTTATTGTTTTCTTCTCCTATTGTCTTTTTTTCCATAAGTAGATCCAGGTTTCTGGCATAAGTAATGTTCTTGCTGCTTGAAGAACTTGAGAAAGTATTTACTCACCCGAGAAAGTATTTACTTCTTTACTCTGGAGGGCTGATTTCTCTGGATATGAAATTCAGTCTTTTGGTGGTTCCGTCCGTTTTCCTGCCTTGTTGTTTGCATGGCTTCTGATGAGACGCTCACTGTAATCCCTGCTTCTTCCTCAATCAGGGCTCCTCCCCCCAGGAGATGAATGAGTGGTTTGAGGATGGTATTTTCCTCCCTGCCCATCCAGACTAGGAGGCCATCCTTCTCCTCCATCTCCACCGGAACCTAATGGGCTTCCTGGAGTGTAGCCATGTAAGCCTGGCCCCTTCCTTTACTGCTGCAGGCCCCACGGAGAATCTCATTTTCGCCCAAGCCTGCACTCAGTTTCCTGCAACTCGACAAAATAATGTAAGTGCTCCAGCCGTCTCATGGAATCTAATGGCTTCTGGTCCAGGTAAATAAAGGCCAAGGCTTGCCTCTCTAAGGGTGTATTCATCCGCTAGAGCTCAGGTGAGTGGTTTGCCCTATGACTTCAGGGCCTCTGATGGTTCCAAGAAAAGTAACTATCTTCAATTTGTTCAACTTTTTTGTACCTATGGATAGGATTTCCGAGCTCTTTACATACTGGAGCCTAGTGTTTGGTGTTTTCTCAAAACTGCTCAGATGGATAAATCCTTCTTTACCACGAAGCTAGAGATCATTGTGCACGTGCTCCTCGGGTTGAATCCCAGTGATGGTGAGTAAGTTAGCATCCAGCCCTAACTTGTTTGTCTAGACTAGCTCTGCCTTCGGCTTCCTCCAAGGTGAGCACTGAATGCTTGCCTGGGTGAGAGTTGGGTTAACTCAGGGTTGGTATCTTGCCAGCTGAGTGGGAGAAGACAGTTGATGGTATATGCAGGGCAGTGTTTATTAAGGTGAATCACATAATCTAAGCTTGGAAAGCAGGGCCTGAGGGATGGTGAAAAAGCAAGACAAACTGTTGTAGGTCCTGGGTTCTCTTAATAGCTATTTTTCTGTCCTGAATTCAGTAATCACGGATCTCTCATTAACTATCTAACAGTATCACTAGACTCAACATCTTTTGGGACTATCACTAGGCAAGTCATTGTGTTAGATGATGTGATGCAGAAAATGACCACGTCTGCCTTCTGGAGGAGGTAAGCAGATAGCTCAAGGAGACAAAATACCCAACTATGCCTGGCTCTCCACAGGTACAGGTTCCACGTCTATGAATTCAAGCAGTCAGATTTAAATTTATTTTTAGAGTTGTGTTTATATTGAGAAGACTTTTTCTTGTCATTATTTTCAAAAACCTCACTCTAGCAACTATTTAAATAGCATTTATGCTGTATTAGGTACTGTAAACAATCTAGGGATAGTTATGCTGTGGTAGATAGAGGAGGTTTTGCATTGATCATGTGTAAATGCTACATCATTTTATATGAGGGATTTGAATATCTGTGGATTTTGATATCCAGAGTGGAGGGAGGGTCTGTACTCTATTTTATAAGTTGATTCTGAAATTCAGACTCTTCAGTTGACCATTCAAAATGGTCCACAATAAGAAGCCATTTTTTGCTTTTCTCCCCTCACACTGTCCTTAAAAAAATCCAGTGTGATCCTATCATCACCTCAGGGCCATGCTTTCCCTTTTCCTCCGTTTCCCACTTTGGCATACTGGTGATATCCTGGAATGCCCACTGTGGAATGGCCCCCAGAAAAACTCAGTCATCATCCTGAAGGCTGAGTGCAATGAAAAATCCAGGGAGCCCTTTTGACACCTTTAGCAGGAAATGGTCATCTCTACTCTCAACTTTATACAGAGCATCTACTGTACAGAGATACTTGTGCCTCCTCTCCCCAAAGACAGCACAGACGTTTTCCTGTCTGCCTTTCTGTGTGGCAGTGTGATAGCACTTTAATAAGGCAATAAGCAAAACCCATGTGGAAAAGAGAAATATAAAGGACAAGATTAGAACCAGATGGCTAAAATCAGCCACTACCTTGGGTTTTTCCGGGTGTCATGGACACCATCTGTTCTAT